TGGGGCGATGCTTCGCTTGAGACTTCCTCGATGTCTTTGACTGGGCATCCCAATGTGTGCAGTAGTTGCCCAGATGGAGAGCCTGTCGTTTATCAAATCAGGCTATCGCTTGATATCTTCTCAAACTCTATGGCCCAAATTGTCTAGTTGTGCAAGAGTTGCGCGGGTAGTTAGTTGGCGGTTTCTTGACGTAACGGGGCTCGCTCTTGAGACTTCCGCGCAGCCTTCCGCGCGCGTCACGTCCAACAATTGGGAAACTTTGGCTGCGCAACGCTAACACAGATGAAGGGCAGGTCATATTCAAAACGAGGCTATCGTTGGACACTTCCTTGAAACTTATTACGTACCCTACCTCCTTGCGCTGCGTTTAACTAGGAGGATCGAGGCGTGTGCCTTACAACACGGGGTCTCGCCTGAGTTGCCAGCCCACCAGGCGATCGTTGAGAAAGGGGGGCGCTTTGCGCGGTGCAAAAAATATGTGTGTTCAGGGTCGAATGAGCAGAGAACATAGGGCGGGAATATGTATTAGCGCAACGCTCATGGGTTTAATATGGCCCTGCTCCTCCTGCTCATCCCCTTCCTCCTGCTCCTCCTCCTCCACCTCCTGCTCCTCCTCCTGCTCCTCCTCCTCCTGCTCCTCCTCCTCCTCCTCCTCCTCCTCCTCCTCCTCCCCTTCCCCCCTTCAACCTCCTCTTCCTCTTCCTTCCCCCCTCCTCCTCCTCCTCCTCTTCCTCCTTCTCCTCCTCTGCCTCCCCTCTTCTGCATCCTCCCCCGCGCGCTCGGCTGCGATCGCCTGGCGTGCCCTGGGTGGCTGTCAGACCAATCCGGCCTTCCCCGAAGGCCCTCGCTTTGAGCTCCTGGCTTTGGGCGCCCGAAATGGGTACGGATAAATGGGTACGATGCCCAAGAGCAACCGCTGTGCCAGACCGCTGCTGGGCAAGCGACTTTCTGCCTCAGATGGATGACGCCCGCGGCGCAAGCGACAGCGAGTCCGGTTCAAATGCAAAGGGCCTGCGGTCGGCCTTCGCCGCCAATCCTTCCGTACCCACCTCGGCCTTCCAGACTGCTGGTGCTGGTGCCCCGCGAGGCGGGGGGGCGGCGGGGGCGCTCCCGAGCTCTGGGCCCTGGCTTGGGCCCGCGCTTTCGCCGGCCTGCGGGCACGGACCTGCCGGGGCGACGTCTGTGAGGTCGCCGCGTGGCTGCTCCGCCGTGGGCCGGCAGCCCCGCGTCCCCCCGATGCAATCGCCCGACGACGGCGGGGGCTTGGTCGGGCCTGGGCCTCCCGGTGTCGCTCTTCGCCCGGCAGTCGTGGCGTTGCCCGCGGAAGGGTCCAACCAACCAACCCCAACCCCTCTCCCTCCTCCCCCCGCCTCTTGCTACTCCCGTCTCCTCCTCCCCACCTCCTCCTCCCCCGCACCGCCCCCCACTCTCCCCCTCCTCATTCACCCTCCCCTCTCTCTGCTTCCTTCCCGTCCTCGTGACCCCTCCCCCTCCCGAGGCATGCGATGTTTTGATTTGTTCGATGCGGGGTACCCAGAACGTCCCGACCCTTTCCCCAGGGCCGCAGCTTCATCCCCAAACATTTTGTTGACGGTCCCTGGGCCCGGAGACGGCCTCTGGAGGCCGAGAATGGCTAGAGACCTCCCGATCGCGAATCTTGCCACGACGCGAGCACGTCAGAGTACTTTCGGACCAAACTTCGGCTCCCCGGCTGGAGAACCGCCGAGAGCCGACGAAAGCGCCCTCGGACCTCGAACCTCGACTAGAGGCCTCCTAGATTGGGTCCGAGCGGGTGGGGTCGGAGGACCGCGCCGCATCGGCGATGCATCGGCGACGCGTCGGCGATTTACAGGCGACGTTGACGTGGGAAGCACGGGCTCCACATCGAGCCGCATCGTCGATGCGTCGGCGATGCGGCCCGATCCTCTTACCCCATCTACTCCAGGCCGAAAGCCACTCCCCTCACCTCGCGCGCCTTCCGCGGAGAGCGGCCGCTCCAAGGGCCCCGGACCCCGCCGCCTGCCTGTGCTGTTGGCCTCCTCGGCGGCCAGCGAGTCCGACAGGAACTCCGGGCAGAACCTCGCGACGACTCTGCCTCGCCGCCCCGCGCACGCCCCGATAGGGGGAGAGAGGCAGGGAACCGAACACTATGCATCGACGCGTTTTCCGGCCCTGCACTGCCATTCGCAACCAGGAGAGCGGATCCCGGTGAAGACGGGATCGGAGGTTGGGGGGTGAGTCCGACGTGAAACGGAGACCCCCCCTGCCGGGACATCGACTTCGGTCTCGGGTTCGTGTCGTGCGTGCCGTGCGCGCGCGGGCGACGAGGCGAAGCTGCGTGGGCGGGCGAGAGGAAATCCTCCTGTGGCTGGGCCGCGGCCGGACCAAGTGCAACTCCTCCAGCGGCCGGTGCCGCGCGGTGTCCCGCTGGTGTCCCGCAGGTGTCCCAAAATTCTCCTGTGGCTGGGCCGCGGCCAGACCAATGTAACTCCTCCGGCGGCCGGTGCCGCGCGGTGTCCCGCAGGTGTCCCGCCTGTGTCCCGTGGTGTCCCGTTGAGTGAGATCGACCGTGAGATCGACAGTGAGATCGATACTGAGATCGATGTGGTGCCCCGAGGTGTCCCGTGGTGTCCCATTGAGTGAGATCGATAATGAGATCGACAAGTGTCCCGTGGTGTCCCGTGGTGTCCCGTGGCGTCCCGTTGAAATGAGATCGATAATGAAATCGATACTGAGATCGATGTGGTGCCCCGAGGTGTCCCGTGGTGTCCCGTGGAGTGGGATCGATAGTGAGAGCGATAGTGAGATCGACAGGTGTCCCGTGGTGTCCCGTTGAGTGAGATCGCTCGTGAGATCGATCGTGAAATCGATAGTGATATCGATGTGGTGTCCCGTAGTGTCCCGCTGAGTGAGATCGATCGTGAGATCGATAGTGATACCAATAGTGAGATCGAGCGGTGTCCCGCGGTGTCCCGTGGTGTCCAGTGGTGGCCCGTGGTGTCCCGTGGTGTCCCGTTGAGTGAGATCGATCGTGAGATCGATAATGAAATCGACAAGTGTCCCGTGGTGTCCCGTGGTGTCCCGTTGGGTGATATCCATAGTGAGATCGATTGAGTCAGATGTTGGTTCCCCCCCCTCCCCCCCTCCCCACAACCTCCTTATCACCCGAATAGTGGTCGTTTAGGTACTGGTGTATACGTTTTTTTGTTGTTCCCCCAGGAAACCGCACCACCCCGACGTCGTCCCCGACCCTCCAAACCCTGGGATTGAAAAACGGCCCGCCACTGGTAATGCACATGTTCAAGTTCCTGAAGAGGGGCCCCTCGAGGAGTCGGGGCGTGAGAGCAGCTGATGCCGAGCAAGCTGCGCTCCGCAGAGGCGGGCCTCGCGACAGAGGGAGGATAGAGCTCCTTCCGCTCGCGCGCAGGCGAGCTGTCTCCAGTCGGGCGGCATGACCAGCGCGCCCGGGGAGGCCCAACCCGAAAAATCGCAAGGTATAACTGCAGAGGAGGAGGAGGAGGACGAGGAGGAGGAGGAGGACCAGTGTAAAACCAAGAGTCATCAACGATGTTGGAATTAACCCTCCCTCCAAGCTCCCTCTTCATAGGCCCCCACAGCGGTTCATTTCCATTGAGGAAACTGCCTCGTTGGAAGACAACCGTTTGAAGATCCTGAAGCATGCACGGCCCTATGGCAGGCCCGTGGGCGCAGTCAAACGCATACCCCGCTTGAGCTGTTTTTTTCCGGGTACTACTTGAAATGCTTGTTCGTTGCCGCCGAAGTCGCGTTGTATTGATCTTTACGTTCGTATGGCCAGCCCTACGTACGTGTCCCTGGCCCGAAGCGCCCCCGGGATTCTCAAGGTCCCCGCGGCCTCCAGCGCACCATGGGCCATCATGAGGCACCAGTGACAGGTTGGGGGCATCATGGGCCAGGGGCACCTTTAACGACAACCTCCGACACTTTTTTGTTTTTCGCGGTAACGCCACTGACTGGCCCTGTCCTCCCCCCCCCTCTCCCTCCCCTAATGCTGTCACAATTCGCGCCGGCGCCGTCTGGGAACCAGCGACTCTTAGGCGTTCCCAGACGGCGCCGGCGCGAACCGTGACACGACCAGCCCCCTCCCCCCCCGGGGCACGCCTGCTTTCGCTAGAGAGTAAAAAAGGGTCTCTGATTGACGAACGCCGATACGTAGCGCCCCGCAAATGTCGATGAGAGTGAGAAGCGACCCTCCTGCACTGCGCACTCTCCCCGAAGGCACTCTGCGCACGAAGCCACGCGCGCGCAGGGGCAACGTAAGCCAAATCCTGTCCCCCTCACGCTGATGAATGCTGGCAGCAGGGTATCGTCCAAGGGGCCAGAGATTAGGCGACTCGACCTGGCTGCCCCCCTTTGCCCTCCAGCATATGCGTCCTCGTCGATTCCGATCTCCGACCAGCCAGGGAGGAACTCGACACCTGCCACTGACAGCAAGAGCCCAACCCACCAAGGTTTTGTGAACGGCAGGCGAGTGGGCAGGATGATGGAGACGACGAGGGATGGATTGAGGAGGAGGAGGAGGAGGAGGAGGAGGAGGAGGAGGAGGAGGAGGAGGGGGAGGAGGAGGAGCAGGGGGAGGAGGACGAGGAGGAGAGGGATCATGATGAAAAGCAGCGGGAAGAAGATGAGGAGAGTAAGCATGATGAAAAGCAGCAGGAAACAGCGGCCCTGCTCTCGTCGTGAAAAACACCACGACGGACCATGTTTGTTGATTGTTGTCGGTCTACAGGCGCCCTGCCCAGGCCCAGGCGCCATAACCAAAAACGGCCACCCTGAGGTCTGACGTTGCAACAAACATTGCATTATCTCGGATGTTGCCAGAAGTGCCCCAGGCCCAAGGTGCCTCCAGGATTCCCAAGGAGGCCCCCACGGCCTCCAGAGCACCCCTCACGAGGCAGGCCCCAGGGGCTCCAGAACATGGAGCGAAAAGCTGGGGGCACCTGGGGCAAGGGACACCTTGAGCAACCCCCGAGCATCGCAGAAACTCACGACCGGAGCCTTGGACCTCAGCTCTCTGCGTCCTTTTGCGAGCCGCAGCGGCCTGTGCGGGCTCTGGAGCCCGAAACGGGGCGAGAAAGCGCCCGTCGTGAAGCAGATTGCAACGCGCCCAGATCTGAGGGTATGGACAGCGGGCCCCGGGTAAAGGGTCAGGACTTCCAGTCGCTCCGCATTGAAAACAGGACAAGACGTCGGACGTATGGGGAGGCCGAGGAGGCAGGCGAACAGAGCGAGGCGGCAGGGATGCTGCGAGGTGCACGGCTGGCTGAGCTTCGATGGACAGAGCCCCTCCTCCTCCACGACATCCTCCTCCTTCTCGTCTTCCTCCCTTTCCTTATCACCGTCCTCGTTTTTCACTTCCTCCTCTTCCTCCTCCTCCACCACCACCACCTCCTCCTGTTTCTCCTCTCCCTTCTCCACGTCCATCCTACTCTCCCCTCTGCTTCCCCTTCCTCCTCGTCCCCCTCTCCTCCTCTTCCTCCTCTTCCCTTGGACGAGCAGAGGAACGCAAGGAGAGGATGAGGATGAGGATGAGGATGAAGATGAGGATGGTGATGGTGATGATGTCGATGCTGATGATAATGGTGATGGTGCTGATGGTGATGACGCTGATAATGATTGATGGTGATGACGATGCTGACGATGATGATGATGATGATGATGATGATGATGATGATGATGATGATGATGATGATGATGATGATGATGATGATGATGACGTGATGGTGTTGATGATGATGACGATGATGATGTTGATGATGATGACGATGCTGATATGATGATGACGATGGGTAGGAGGATGAGGATGCTGATGCTGATGATGATGGTGCTGATGAAGAGGGGGAGAAGGAGAAGGAGGAGAAAGGGGGCTGGAGGAAACGGAAGGAAAGGAAGGGCAACGATATGATAACGTGGAAAGGATACGAGGAGGGAGAGGACAACAGGAAAGAGAGGAGATAAGAAGGCTAACGGGAACGCTGGCCGCAGCGCGGACACGCGCACCAGAACTGCAAGCAGCAGGGGGACGGCAGCAGGCGGACGAGGAGGATGACCACGGCACGCACGTGGAGATAATGGGGAACCCAAAGAGCACCGATACCGCTACTCCCCGGACCTCTCCCGGGGTGCGTTCTGAATGGGAGTTCGATGCGAATCCAAACGACGGCTCCCAGAAGGCCCACAGAGGAGAAAATCGCCACGGCAGCCGGTCACCAAAGTTCGGCTGGTGCCCTCGTGCGAGACGAAAGGCAACACGGCAGACGCACTGCCAGGTGGGCATCCTGGGACGGTCCAACACACCCCCCAACACCACCTGGGCAGAGCACCAGCCGAACCAAGAAGAGGGACGGGAGGGCGGGCGAAAAACCAGTCGTTTGGTTCACTGTCGCCACGGCTACTTTGCCCAGGCTATCCGCGGCGACCTGTGGGCGTTGGCTCGCCTTCTGGCTCGCCGTCGGCCAACCCCCCGTCGAGGGTCTTGCGCCGAATCGCGTGAGTCTGCCCTGTCCAAGCAAGGCCCCGTCCCTTGTGCAGGGACTGCGGCTTCTGCGTGGGTTTGCCTTATCCCGGCAGGGACCCGTTCCTTATCCAGGAGCTGCGGCTGACTTGGGTTTGCCTTGTCCAGGCAGGGACCCGCTCCCTATCGGGGAGCCGAGCGTTTGCCGCGCGGGCTTGCCTTGTCCAGGCAAGGGGCCCGTTCCTTATCCAGGAACTGCGGCCGCATTTGTGGGTTTGCCTTGTCGAGGCAGGGACCCGCTCCCTATCGGGGAGCCGAACTTTGCCTCGTTGGTTTGCCTTGTCCAGGCAGGGACCCGTTCCCTATCCAGGAACCTCGGCTGCCTTGGGTTTGCCTTGTCCAGGCAGGGACCCGCTCCCTTTCGGGAAGCCCAGCGTAGCCGCGGGCGCCTAGTACACAAGGACCTTTTGCCCTTGGCTTCCCTGGGCGCTCCCCGTCGGGGAGCCGAGTGAAGGCGCGTGCGCCTGGTCCACGAGGACGATTTTCCCTTGGCTCTCCGGGGCGGCGGCGGCAAAGCGGCGCCTGCGGCAAAGCGGCGGCAGCAAAGCGGCGGCGGCACAGCGGAGGAAGGCGGGGAGGCCGCATGCCCACAAGTGTGGGCAGAAGGCGAATAAGCAGAACAGGCTAAGGTCCAGGAGCCCGCTCCTCGCGATTTTCCTGCCCCAGAAACCAGAGATGTAGGGATTATGAAAACGAGGCACGGGTAGCGGCATGGGCACCTGTTCCTCCTCCGAAGGGCGGGGATTGGGAAGACGAGGAGAGCGGAGCAGGACGAGCAGAACGAGTTCTTCCTCCCAGGACGGAACAGGCGAGGCCCCCCACGCCGCCCGGGGGACGGGCGAGGACGAAGACGGCGAAGCTGCGGACGGAGAAGACGACGCTGACCAAACAAGGCCGACGACGACGACGACGCCGGCGGCGACGGAGCACAACGGACGACGGAGGCGGACGCCCACGAGGAGGAGTCCGCCGATGGAGGCGGACGCCCACGACGGAGGCGGATGCTCACGACGGAGGCGGACGACGGAGGCGGACGCCCACGACGGAGGCGGATGCTCACGACGGAGGCGGACGACGGAGGCGGACGCCCACGAAGGAGGCGGCCGACGACGAACATGACAACGACGGCGACGGACGCCCACGAGGAGGAGTCCGCCGCTGCCGTTCAGGGTCGGTCTTCGGCGGCACTCCTCCTCTGCTCCTCCTCCTCCTCCTCCTCCTCCTCCTCCTCCTCCCTCCTCCTCCTCCTCCTCCTCCTCCTCTCCTCCTCTCCTCCTCCTCCTCCTGCATCCTCCTCCTCCTCCTCCTCATACCCTCCTCCTCCTCCTCCTCCTCCTCCTCCTCTCCTCTTCCTCCTCCTCCTCCTCCTCCTCCTCCAAACCTGCTCCTCGTACTTTGGGGGTGGGCCTGCCCAGCCGGGCTCGCTCGCCCAGCCCTCCATCTCGGCGAAGGCGCTGCCCTTCTCGTCCGCGATCTGGCCGGCCAGGGAGGCCGAAGAGGTGGGGGGGTAGAGAGAGAGAAGGGATCAGGATGAGCACACCCAAGGAGAACAAGGAGGAGAAGGATAAAAGAAAAGTCGATGTCGCGTCGAACTGGAGTCGAACATGAGCCGAGCCAGTGTCGAACTAGACTCGAAACAGAGTCGAACTAGAACCGGTGCGATCCGTTAGGTGGGCCCCAGGGAGGTCTCCCAAGAAGGACATCGCAAGCTGAGAAAGGGACAAGGGCCAGAGGTGTAATTGTAGGAGGGAGGAGGAAGGCGGACTGTAGGAGAGGAAGGGCGAGGGTGAAGGAGGTGAGAAGGACTAGGAGGAGGATAAGGCGATGGCGGGGGGACGGGGCGAGTTGTGTTCTTGTTCTTTGCCAAAATGCGGTGGGGCTCCTTTGGGGGGGAGGAGGCCGCCGCCTCGGCGGGAAGGACGCCCCGAGCCGCTGCCGCCCATCGCGCGCATTTGAAAGGTCCGTGGGGAGGAAGCGGAACAGGAGGACGGCGAGGAGGAGACAGCAGGAACAAGAGGGGGAGGATAGCGAACGAGGAGGAACGGGAGGAAGGGCGGAGGAGGGGCAGGAGGAAGAAATGGTAAACCAAACATCAGGAGGAGACGGTAGGAGAACTCGGAGGAGGAATCTGAGGAACAACAAGAGTAAGAGGAGGAGAAGGAGGAGGAGGAGGAGGGGGAATCAGACGAGGAGATGAGGAGCAAGAGAAGGACAAGGACCAGGAGGAGGAGGATGGGGCATAGAGGAAGAGAAGAGACGACGAGAATGGAGAAATAATTAAGGAGAGTAGGGGGAAGGAAGAAAAGAAAAGGATGGAGAAGAGACGGAACAAGAACTAGCAGGACGAAGTATTAGGAGGAGGATGCTGACGTCTTCAAATGAATCATGCGTTTTTGTCGAACAATGTCTGGTGTTACTATCATTGTTTGTTGCGGCAGCCGTGCACAGCGAGGAAGGGTAGCCTTATGGGTACCTTTTCCTTCCCTGAGCGTATGTCGGGGAACCTCCTGGCCCAGCGGCTTCAGACCCAGGCCGCGGGAGCGGTCGTCGAGGTGATCGTCATCGTCATCGTTCGTCGTCGTCGGCGTGGTGGGCGTCGTCCTCGTCGCGGTCGCCACACTCGTCGGCGTGCACGAAGGGCAGCGGTATGGGTACCTTTTCCTCCTGCGACCTGGCCCGTCTGCTTGCGGCGGACGCCCCTCTCCCCCTCTCCCTCGCCTCATCTCCCCCCTCCGCCGGCGGCACAGCCTGCCCCGGGACCAGCCTGGCGGCGCGCAGGGCAACAGTTCTCCCCCTCCTCCCATCCCGCAAGGCGGCGGGGGCGGAGGCCGCCCCCAGGGGGGGCGGCGGCGGCGGCCGGCCGCGGGCCTCCACGAAGAACACCCGCGTGCCCTTATCCTCCAGCTCCTGCGCCTGTCACCGTCGTCCTCATCCTCCTCCTCCTCCTCCTCAATTCTTTTCGTCTGGTGGCTACAAGGTTCGTCGAACGTAGCCGTCCTCCTCCTCCTCCCCTCCCCCTCCCCCTCCCCCTCTCCTCCTCCTCCTCCTCCTCCTCCTCCTCCTCCTCCTCCTCCTCCTCCTCCTCCTCCTCCTCTCCTCCCCCGTTCTCCTTCTCCTCCTCCTTCTCCTGGCTCCTCCTCCTCCTCCTCCCTCCTGCTCCTTCCCTCTCCTTCTCCTCCTCCTCCTCCCTCCTCCTCCTCCTCCTCCTCCTTCTCCTTCTCCTCCTCGTCGCACGTAGCCGTCCTCCTCCTCCTCACCTCCTCCTCCTCCTCCTCCTCCTCCTCCTCCTCCTCCTCCCTCCTCCTCCTCCCCTCCCCCTCCCCCTCCCCCTCCCCCTTCCCCCTCCCTCCTCTCCTCCTCCTCCTCCTCCTCCTCCCTCCTCCTCCTCCTCCTCCTCCTCTCCTCCTCCTCGCCTCCTCCTCCTCCCTCCTCCTCCTCCTCCTCCTCCCTCGTTCTCCTTCTCCTCCTCCTCCTAATGTTCCTCCTCCTCCTCCTCCTCCTCCTCCTCCTCCCTCCTCCTCCTTCTCCTTCTCCTTCTCCTTCTCCTTCTCCTCCTCCTCCTCCCTCCTCCTCCTCCTCCTCCTTCTCCTTCTCCTCCTCGTCGAACGCAGCCGTCCTCCCTCCTCCTCCTCCTCCTCCTCCTCCTCCTCCTCTTATTTTCCTCCTCCTCCTCCTTATTTTCCTCCTCCTCCTCCTCGTCCTCCTCCTCGTCCTCCTCCCCCCTGCTCCTCCTCCTCCTCCGCCTCCTCCTTCTCCTCCTCCCCATCCCCTCCTCCTACCCTCTCCTCCTCCTTCTCCCTCCTTGTTCTCCTCCTCTTCTCCTCCTCCCCTGCTGCCTCCTTCTCACCGCGGTGCCCCCCCTCCTCTTCCCCCTGCTGCCGCTCCTCGGTGTCCTGCGCCGCCTCCACCTCCTCCGGCTCAGACCCCCTGCTTCTCCTCCTGCCCTCCTGTCCTCCCTCCTCTCCATATATTTCGCTTGCACCCGCCCCACGCCACCCCACAACGTCCTCCATACGCCTTCCGGCACCGCCGCGTCCCCCGTCCTGCCACTTCTCTTTTTCCGGCCTCCTCGTCCATCCACCCCTTCACGCGCCTCGGAAGGCCGAAGGCATGACGGCAGCAGAGAAGGAACGCGCTCAGAGGCCCTCGCTTGTCAGTTCGAGGCCTAGGTCACATGCTGGACGGCTGGCTACCCATCGCAATTGCGAGTTCCCTCGCATCCTCGACAACTTCCTATCTCAGAAGCCCCCAAGCCCTCCCTCCTGAGCTGGGACCGACCGTCCTGGCATTCCTATAGGCCTACCACAAAATTTTTAAGAACCCCGGATTTTCTAATGACAAAACCAATGTGCTTATGAAATCAGCCCGATGTGTCCAACCAAGACAATATTGGCCATACATGTTCTAAGAACATCTCGTGCAGACCACAGAAGGCTCTTAGAACATAGGCAAGCCGGGACGCTTCGCCACTGCTTAGCTTGACCCCTCCCTCCCGCGGCGCTGCGCCAGTGGGCTGCGCCGGTGCGCTGCGTCAGCGCGCCGCCCGCGCCGCTGCACAGCCGCCGTGGCGGCAAGACACCGCGGCGCCCGCGCGAGGCCCCGAGACCCAGGGCTTCCGAGGGCCCCGGCACCGACAGAGTCAAGACGTCACACGTCTGGGTCCTGGGCAGCCGCCTCTGAAAGGGGCCCAGGGGCACACGAATAAATGGGCACAGGTCCCAGGACACCCCCATATTTTTCGATATCTCCTTGGCTCTCGTCTTCCCCTCCACGTCCCGCATGTTCCATCGTTTCCCGGGAATCGACGATCATTTGTGTGCCTCTGCGTGTTTTTGTCCCTCCCGATGGGCGTCCGCCAGCGCTGCGGCAAGCCGCCACGCCCCGAGATCCTGGTGTCGTCGCACCGCTCCTTTGCGCCGGGCGCTCTCGTTCAGAGCTCGCGCCCCCAGGGGGTGGAGGCATATCGTCGATGCGCCGCAAACCTCCGACACCATCTACTTCGACCAACTTTGGGAGGCTGGAGGGTGTGATATGGAATGAGCGCGGGCCCATGCTTCTTCCAGCACGCAGCGCGGGTAGCTCTGAGGCCAAGGGCCTTAAACGGTTTGATGGGAAACGACTGCGGGCAGAGCAGGTAAGAGAGAGAAAGAGAGAGAGAGAGAGAGAGAGAAAAAAAAAAAAAAAAAAGAGAGAGAGAGACCAGGGTTAGATCGGGCATGTCCCCCTACAGGGGGGTTTTGGACGGACGAGAAGACATGCACTAGAAATATTCACACATGCGCAAGAATGGTAAAACAATTGCCCCCCTACTACATGTTTCTAATTATGTTTGAATCTTCCTCCTGTAGAGGGGCAGGCCCGACCTCAGGGGCACAGCAGGAACGGGGCGAGGATGGCCAGGAGCGCGCTCGAGGCACAGCTGGGAGCCCTCGTGGATCGGCGCCGCCCCGGGGAGCGCCGCAGAGGGACAGGAGCCCTCGGGGGCTTCGGCCCTGACTTGCCCTAGGTCGGGCATGTCCTCCCACAGGCGGATTTGGACGACAAATCTACAACACAGTCAACAGCTGCTCCAAACATGCTCCCACATGCAAAAAAACAAAAATCGCCCCCAGACTATTTCGAAGTATGCTTGAAGATTCCTCCTGTAGAGGGACATGCCCGACTTAAGATGGGGGCCCTCGGGGGCTTCGGCCCTGACCTGCCTCGGCGCTGCAGCATGCCAGCTCGCGACGTCGGACCTCACGAGGGGAGGGGCTCCCGGGCGGAGAGGCGCCCCGCCGGCTGTCCGACGAGAGGATCTGCTCCATGCGCGGCGCACGAGGTCCCGACCCCTTCCCCTGGGGGTGGGCTTCCCAATCGGGCGGGTGGTAATGGGGCTGTGGATGCCACGACAATGGACACCCTAACGGTCCGATCATCGAATTAAGCATGTGTTGAACATGTCGGAAAATGTCGTGAAAACGGTTCCATTTTTCAATCAGCAAATAACGCAGTTTTAACACATGTTCTGGACAGCTGGAAATGACTTGGCAACATGCTTCCTCTCTCGGGGGTGGACAGACCCGCCTTTAGTAAAACGTGGTTTAGTGAAAACGACCTGAGGCCCAAAGCTGGCGGGCGCAAGCCTGGAAAATAACGGCCACGGCGCCATCTCGAGAACCGAAAACGGACAATTCACTAATCGACGTGTCACTGTTGGGGGTTCTGTCCACCCCCGACTCTCCATCACAATAACGGGGTGTGGCCCACATGGGGAGTGCAGAAACGGGCCCTCCAGGGGCCCCTTTTGGGGCCCTGCTGGCTCCGCACGGGGCCCCAACGCACCCCCTTCAGGGCCCTTTTCTTCACCCCCCAGTTGGGCCCCCCCCCACGACCACCCGCCCGACCCAGCTCCGTTTTTGACGACCCCGCGGCCCGAGGGCGAGCTCCCGGGGGGCCGAGACCGAGGAGAAGCCCCCGGCTCACATCGACGGGGGCCTTGGGGGACGAACGGCGGCGGCGCGCACGGCGACGGCGCCGACGACTTGAGCAGGGGAGGGCCGTCCCAGGTTCCTAGAGGCCTGCCACGACGCATCCTTTCGACAAGAGCATGGTCCACGATCCACAGTAATGCCCTCAGAACATACAGCCGGTGCATTCAACAGCGGCCCTGGCCATACACGTTATGAGAACACCTCGTGCAAATCAAGACCGGTCCTTAGACCATCCGCTGGTGGCCCTGTAGATAAGGGTTTTCATTCTGGGTTTCGACTTTGGGCCGAATGGTGGGGGAGAGGGGGGGGAGCAAGGTGTGGGCCGGTGCTCAGTAGACCTGCTTCTGCCATCTACCAGTCGCGCAAGCAGACGAGGGGGAGAGGGGCCCTGACTACCTGCCAGACCACCCCAGCCAAACCCGAAGACCCAAATTTCGGACTTTGGGGGGGGATGTGTTTTTTGGCAGTGTTCCCCGACGCCCCCCCGCTCTGGGAATGGAGGGCTACTTGTGGCATTCGGGTTGGAGTGGTTTGCTGGGTGGTGACTGACCAGTCGCCCAAAAGCAGCCGCCAAGAGCAGCCAAAATCTGGCAGACGAAGGGGGTGGAGGCGTGGGGCCGCCTCGACCCGCGAAACCAGAAACTATGAACAAACAGCAAAAACGGCGACCAGGGCGCCTCGCCTCTGCTCGGACGACGGCGGAGCGGCGGCGGCGGCGGCGGCCAGCCGGCCGCCTGGCTGGCGGCCTGGCCACGGAGCGCCGCGGGGCGGCCGTCGGTCACCACGAGCACGACGGCCTCGGCCTCCTGGGGGCGCGCCCCCGGGCAGGGCGGCGGGCGGGGTGGCGAGCCCCTTCCCTCAGACCCGGGCGATGCAATGTTTTCACCGCTTGCGTTTTCGCCGGGATTCGGGCCCCGGGCCCGTCACAGATCGACGTGGCTCGCACCAGGACGCAGAAGCACAGTCGAGTTACTACCAGAGGGAACGCTGAAGAAGGAAAGAGGCCCCTTCTGGGCCCCAGAAGCGCCCAGGTAAAGCGAGGAGCGGTAGAGGAACAACCACGGAAGGACCCAACGAACTGCGAGCCCCTTCCTCAGCCCAAAGCGGTCTTTATTTCAGCGCCTTGGCTGTATAGGGTCCAGGGCTCCAATGAAGATGCTTTGCCATGCTGCGTTTTCCGTTGGCAACGTCAGATCTGGCGGCTCTTCGTTCCTCCGGGAGCACGGGGCGTCGGGGATCCAGCAGCGGATCGGGGATCGATCCTCCCACTCCCCCTCCCTGCCCCTCCTCCTCCTCCTCCTCCTCGTCCTCCGCCTCCTCCTCCTCCTCCTCCTCCTCCTCCGCTCTTCCTCCTCCGCTCTTCCTCCTCTGCTCTTCCTCTGCTCCTCCTCCGTCTCCGCCTCCGCCTCCTCCTCCTCCTCCTCCTCCTCCTCCTCCTCCTCCTCTGCTCCTCCTCTGCTGCTCCTCCTCCACCACCTCCTCCTCCCGGCCCTGGGGAGGGGGGTGAGCGGGGCGGGGGGCCAGCGGTCGAGGAAAAGACCGAGGGTCGAGCCTTCACCCTCCTCCTTCTATCCTCCTCCTTTTCCTTTTCCATTCCCTTGTTCGTTTTCCTTTTCCTTTTGCTTTTCCTTGTCCTTTTCCTTTTCCTCCTCCTCCTCCTCCCCCTCCTCCTCCTGGTGGCTAGCAGGTTCGTCGAAAGTGGCGCTCCTCCTCCACCTCCTCCTCCTCCTCCCCCTCCCCCGCCTGAGACTTCCTCGCAATTCACTCGCAGACGAGCCTCCAGCCTGATATTTCCCCCATATTCAGGCCTCAGGGGCCCAAAAGTGACGACATTTAAAAATTTGAGGATGACCCGCTTGCATTGAAAGCATTAAAGGTTGGCCCCATATGGAGAAGGCTCCATCCTGAGACCTCCTTGCAATTCGCTCACAGAAGAGCATCCCGCCTGATATTTCACTCATATTCAAGCCCCAGGAGCCCAAAAGTGACGACAGTTACAAGTTCGAGGATGGCCCGCTCGGATTAGACACATGAAGCGCTCGGATTAAAAACATAAGCGCGGGCCCCTTAGGGAGAGGGCTCAGGAGCACAAAGGTGACGATAGTGACAAGTTTGAGGATGAACCGCTCGAATTCGAAACATGAAATGCGGGCCCCATAGGGAGAGGGCTCCCGCCTGAGACTTCCTCACAATTCACTCACAGACGAGCCTCCCGCCTGACAGTTCACCCATATTCAGGCTTCAGGAGCGCACACGTGACGACGATTCCACGTCAGAGGATGACCCGTTCGGGTTAGAAACATGAAATGCGAACGCCTGAGACTTCCTCGCAATTCACTCGCGAAGGAGCCTCCCGCCTGATACCTCACCCATATATTCAGGCCTCAGGAACCCAAAGATGTCGACAATTGAAAGTCTGAGGATGACCCGCTTGGATAAAAATATGAAGTGCGGGCCCATTGAGGAGAGGGCTCCCGCCGGAGATTTCCTCGCAATTCTCTCACAGATGAGGCCCCCGCCTGATCAGAGTGAGGGGGCTGAACCGAACGGTCATTCACTGTCCCTGCTTGCGTGGCTGAAGTGGAATTCCGCGATGCGGATTATTGTTGTTGTTGTTGCTGTTGCTGTTGCTGTTGATTTTGTTGTTGTTGGTTGTTGTTGTGGTTGTTGTTGTTGGTGGTGGTGGTGTTGTTGTTGTTGCTGCTGCTGTTGCTGTTGTTGTCGTCGTCGTCGTCGTCGTCGTCGTCGTCGTCGTCGTTGTTGTTGTTGTTGTTGTTGTTGTTGTTGTTGTTGTTGTTGTTGTTGTTGTTGTTGTTGTTGTTGTTGTTGTTGTTGTTGTTGTTGTTGTTGTTGTTTGCTGTTGTCGTCGTCCCACCCGCGACTAGCCCCGCGACCCACCCGCGACCCACCCCGCGACCCACCCGCGAGCAACCCGCGACCCACCCGCGACCCACCCGCGACCTACCCGCGACCACCCCGCGACCCACCCCGCGACCCACCCGCGAGCAACCCGCGACCCACCCCGCGACCCAACCCGCGACCCACCCGCGACCCACCCCGAGACCCCCCCGGCGACCCACCCCGCGACCCACCCGCGACCCACGCGACCCACCACGCGACACCCGCGACCCACCCGCCCGCGACCCACCCGCGACCCACCCGGCGACCCACCCAAAATGTTCGGCGCCTGCGGCGGGCTTCTTTGGCATCCGTTCCAGGTGGAGAACATGCGACCCACCCGCCACCGAAACCGCGTTCAGTGTACAAATCAACATTTTCGGCGCCTGCGGCGGGCTGTTTTTGAATCCCTTCGAGGTGGTGGTGGAGAGCCCGCGACCCACCCGCGACCCAAACTACGTTCAGTGGACAAACCAAAAAATCGGCGCCTGCGACGTTTTTTTTTGCATCGGCGACCCACTGGCGACCCACCCCGAGACCCACCCGCGACCCACCCCGCGACCCGCCCGCGACCCACCCGCGACGCACCCGCGACCCACCGCGACCCACCCGCGACCCACCCGCGACCCAACCCGCGACCCACCGCCTGCGGCGTTTTTTTGTATTCGTTCCAGGTGGAGAACCTGCGACCCACCCGCGACCCAAACCGCGCGCGTTCAGTGTACAAATCAATTGTTTCGGCGCCTGCGGCGGGCTGTTTTTGATTTCCTTCCAGGTGGAGGTGGGGAGCCCGCGACCCACCCGCGACCAAAACTACGTTCACTGAGCATACCAAACCTTCAACGCTTGCATTCGTTCCAGGTGGAGAACCTGCGACCCAAACCGCGCTCAGAGTACAAATCGACATTTTCGGCGCCTGCGGCGGGCTGCTTTTGAATTCCTTCCATGTGGAGGTGGAGAGCCCGCGACCCACCCGCGACCCAAACTACGTTCACTGAACAAGCCAAAATTCGGAGCCTGCGGCGGGCTGCTTTTGCATTCGTTCCGGGTGGCCCACCAGTGATCCCCCCCGCGCTGAACTTGTCAGAGCACGCAAATCGGCGCCTGCGGCGGGCTTGCTCGCATTGGTTTGGGAAAGCGCCCTCGTGTCATTCCCCCGATCCGGCCCACGCTGACCCTACAACAGAAATCGGCGCCCGTCCCCTCACTCTAATCCGCAACTGCGGGGTGCTACGACACAAATCAAAATGTTCAGCGCCTGCGGCGGGCTGTTTTTGAAGTCCTTCCACCTGGAGGTGGAGAGCCCGCGACCCGACCGCGACCCAAACTACGTTCACTGAACAAGCCCAAACTTCGGCGCCTGCGGCGGGTTTCTTTTGCATCGGCGGCCCACCCGCGCCTCACCAGCGACCCACCGCGAGACCCACCCGCGACCCACCCCGCGACCCACCCGCGACCCACCCGCGACCCACCCCGCGACCCACCCAAAATGTTCGGCGCCTGCGGCGGGCTTCTTGCGCATTCGTTCCAATCTTCTTTTGCATTCGTGAGGGCCACGAGGTCCGCCGGCTCGACGCCCGCGTCGCCCGTGCCCGCCCCCTCATTCATATCCGCAATTGCGGGGTGCTATATACTCTCTTGTATTCACGCCTCAGGAGCCCAAAAGTGCCGACAGTTACAGGTTCGAAAATGACCCGCTCGGATTAGAAACATGATCTACGGGCCACATTGGGAGAAGGCTCCCGCCGGAGACTTCCTAGCAATTCACTCAAAGACGAGCCTCCCGCCTGACATTTCCCCAATATTCAGGCCTCCGGAGCCCAAAAATGAGGACAATTACAGGTTTGAGGATGACCCGCTCGGATTAGAAACATGAAGTGCGGGCCCCATAGGGAAAGGACTCCCGCCTGAGACTTCCTCGCAATTAACTCACAGACGAGCCTCCCGCCTGATACTTCCCCCTATCAGGCCTTAGGAAAATGATGCTGAGTGATGAGAGAGAGAGAGAGTGTGTGTGTGTGATGCGCGACTGCATATGATGATGATGGCGGTGGTGGTGATGCTGATGCTGATGCTGATGCTGATGCTGATGCTGATGCTGATGCTGATGCTGATGCTGATGCTGATTATGATGATGCTGATTATGATGATGATGATGATGATGATGATGATGATGATGATGATGATGATGATGATGATGATGATGATGATGATGATGATGATGATCGATGGTCGATGGTAATGGTGATCGATGGTAAGTGACTGAGTATGATGATGATGGTGATGGTGATGACCGATGGTGATGATAACTGATGACGGGGTGAATGCGTAAGTGAGGCGGAGAGTGGGAGGGAGGTGAGGCTCCTGCGCGGGTGGTGTTCAAAGAAAACAAGACCCCCACTTTGGATGTGGGGAACAAAACACATCAAGACCGTGCCGATCCTTGAAATAGGAAGGCGCTAGAAGCAGATTGGGATCTCGGGGGTTCGCCAACAAATCCCTACTCCCAACGACCGACGGGTAGCGCGTCGCGCCGAGGCGTGGTGGGCCCCAGAGCCGGCGGAGCGACACGCTATCCCAAAAGGAAGAGGAGGAGGAGGAGGAGGAGGAGGAGGAGGAGGAGGGAGGATGGGAGGGAGGATGGGAGGGAGGGAGGGAGGGAGGGAGGAGGGAGAAGGGAGGAGGGAGAAGTGTGCGGCAGGCGCCGAGGCGACGAGGCGCTCCTCGGGACTCTCGCGAGGGGCGGTCCGAGCAGCGCCCAGCCGGGGAAGGCTCGGCCGACGACGGACAGCGCGTCAGCTCCTGAGGCCCTGCCTGAGATCCTGTCGGCCCAATCTTTGCGAGCCGGGCGTTTCAGCTTGTTGTTCGGGCCCCGGACGTTGCAAATGTTTGGCAAAGTCGGGTCTCGGGTCTGCGTGTGTGTGTGTGTTGTGTTGTGTTGTGTGTTGTGTGTTGCGTGTGTTGTGTGTGTTGCGTGTTGTGTGTTGTGTTGTGTGTGGGTTGTGTGTTGCGTGTTGTGTGTTGTCTGTTGTGTGTGTGTGTGTGTTGTGTGTGGTGTGTGTGGTGTGATGAGTGCTGTGTGCTGTGTGCTGTGTGTTGTGTGCTGTGTGCTGTGCGTTGTGTGTTGTGTGTTGTATGTTGTGTGTAGTGTTGTGCATTGTGTGCTGTGCGTGCGTGCGTGCGTGCGTGCGTGCGTGCGTGTGTTTGTGTTTGTGTTTGTGTTTGTGTTTGTGTTTGTGTTTGTGTTTGTGTGTGTGTGTTTGTGTGCGTGTGTGTGTGTGCGTGCGTGCGTGTGTTTGTGTGTGTGTGTGTGTTTGTGTGTGTGTGTGTGTGTGTGTGTGTGTGTGTGTGTGTGTGTGTGTGTGTGTGTGTGTGTGTGTGTGTGTGTGTGTGTGTGTGTGGAAAACACTCTGCTGAACTGGCGGGAACACACTGGCGCATGATCTGGGGGGGGATGTCAGTGTTCACGCCGGGGAAAGGGGAGGGGAGGGGGGGGGGGTGAAGAGGAGGGAGCGGAAGTATACGGGCGGGGGGGGGGTAGAGGACGCTGTTTTGTGTACTGTCGTTTCGGGGTGAATGTAGGCCGCAGGCGCTGCTGCGGCCAGCAGCCCTGGCTCCGCCAGGGGCGCTGCCGATGCCGACGCGACTCCGCCGCGCCAGGCCCCAGAGGGGGGGGGGAACGGGGGGCTAGGAAAGGGCGCGGGAAAACTTGCCAACTGGCCCCCCCAACAGCTGTGGCACTGCCCCGCGCCCTAGCGCGGCGAGGGGGCACCACCCTGACAGGACCCCCGTCGCGCTCCGCGCTGAGGGGGGAGGGAGGAGGGATCTTAGCTTTCACACTGGGTGGTTGCCAGAGAGGAGGGGAGAAGGCGGAGGAGGGAGGAAAGAGGAAGGATGAGGGAGGGGGGGGGAGGAAGGGCATAGAGATGGACTAAAAAGAGGAGGCTCCCCCTCGGTCGGCGCCTGGCCTCGCGAGAGCTGTCCTCGAGCATCTGCTGCGCCAGCACCAAAGCCTGACCGCCGCGGGAGCCACGGAGGAGGAGGGGGAGCTGGTCCATACTCCTCTTATTCGTCCTCCTCCTCGTCCTCCTCCTCCTCCTCCTCCTCCTCCTCCTCGTCCATCCCTTTTCCTTACACATGCAGGCGGGCATAGGTTCTCGACGTCGGCGTTGTTCCTAGAGGCGACAGCGGGGACCACGAGGGTCTGGGTCCCCTGCGGGGCCCCAGCTGTGGCCAGCATCAGCGCGTTCCCCCGAAAGGGCCGAACAAGGCATCCACAAGATGGTGGACGTCTGGCGACATTCTGGACAGCTCCCACATCGACCCTGCCTGGTGCACGACCCGACGTGCCGCTCGGGCGGGCGGGGCGTCTCGCCGGGGACTTTCTTGCCGTTGGGGAGGAGGAGGAGGAGGAGGAGGAGGAGGAGGAGGGCGCCGCGCAGACTCGGTGTCAGCGCATCGAAACGGCTACACGGGGTAGAGGGCGAGCTGTCCCCAAGAAGGAGTGGCTCTCGCCGTGGTGCCACACAACAAACTCGTCGCTCTCGCCGTGGCGGCGCGCGCACCCGTTAGAAACAGCACCAACACCACGGATGCCACGCAGCTCGTTTTCATAATGGAGCCCTCGCCTTCGCGCAGCACCCGCCCGTCTCGATTCACCTGCAGCGGTTCTACGGATGGAGAGCGTTCACTTCACATCTGGGTTCTCGCATGATGCCCTCTAACATGTGTAGTCGTCGCACGACAGGACGCCGGTCTCTTCTTTTCAATGTAGGCTATCGGCAGCGACTTCCATTTATTCATAAGCAAAGCTTTGCTAGAGACACACATACGTATTGCGGACGGTTCCTTTTCAAAGCGAGGGCGACGCTTGGCACTTAATCAAGCATTATGATCCCACCTTGCCGCATGGATTACGGACAGGAACTTGTGCTTTGTCGCGGCGGCGGCCCTGGCGACACGCTATGCCCTGCGAGCGGATAGTGTGTCGCTCCGCTCCCGCGGGGGGGGGGTCTTGGAAGGCTCGGGACGTGGACGCTTGAAAGTGCGGACGTGATTAGTTTGTTGCGTAGACGCGTGGTGGGCAAGAACTGGCGGCGCGACACGCAAACCAAAAGTCCAGACCGTTATGATTAGACTTTTGGCGGGATGGTTTATTGCTGCAGCATCGTGGGTACACGTTCAGGTTCGTACTCTGGTTTTCCGCCCCGTTGTTTCTCTTACTCCGTGTCCTTTCCATCCTCCTCCTCCTCTTCCTCTTCCTCCTCCTCCTCTCCTCCTTCGCCTCCTTTTCATCCTCCCTCTCCCTTCTCGCAGTCCCCCCCACCTCCAGGAGGAGGGAGGGGTGCTCGAGGATTGGGGTGCGCCTCTTTCCCTGAGGACACCTCTGGAGTTCCCCGGGGCCCTCCAGAGCCCCCCAGAGCCTTCGGGGGCCTCCCGAGGGGACTCGGGGAGACCCGCGGAGACCACTGGGGAAGGAGGTGGGCCTCGCGCTCCACGTGGGCGACGCCGAGAGAGGGGGTGAGGGCTCACGGACGAGACCTCGGCGGCCTCCCGCGGTGGCCTTCGCGGACCCGCTGGCGCGGCACACCGCGCGGAAAGCAGGGCGCCCGCGCGCGCCCCGGGAGCGGGCACGCGCGGCAAGAAATTGTCAGCCAGCGTGGGCCCCAAACAGCGCCTTCTTGCAAGATGCGCGGCGCAGTCTAAGTGGCGCAGTCCACGTGTTGCAGGCTGGGTGGTGCAGGCCACGAGGTGCAGTGTGTGTGGCGCGGAGCAGTGCCAGGCAACGCACGGCGACGCAGTGCAGGGGCAGTGCGATTGCACTGCGATGCGACGCACGGCGGCCACGAGCCGGCCAGACCGCCACTGAGACTCACTTGCCAGCGGCGACGGCGGCGGCGACGGGCGGCGGTGGGAGGCCGCAGTCTGGGGGCGGGCCCGTGGCAGTTACCTTGGGAGGGAAACTTCGCGGGGGCCAGATCGGGCTACTGGGGGCCATCGCCCTTGCTCCCTCCGGGGTCGAGGCGGGAGGCCACGGTGGGGAGGAAGCTAAGATCGGACGACGGCTGTGGGCTGGAGGAAAAGAAGAAGGGCTCCCGGGTGGGGTAGACCAGTGGAGCCTCACTGCCAGCCCCGAACGGGGCCTGGGCAGCGAGGAGGAGGACAAGTCCCCAAGGAGCACAGATCCCGTGCAGAACCAACCCAGGGACGCACCCCTCAGCGCAAGCACTGTTTGGGGAATTCTGTTAATGAGGAATCTGGGGGCACATCCTTCGTCAACTCCGAGCCTCGCGAGGTGCCCCTGGGAGACAAGCCATGCTCGCGAGGCATCCGTCGGCAGGACAATTGCTGATCTGGTGCGCCCACTGCAAGGGCGCAGCCTGCGCGCCAGGGTCCGCGCCAGGGTTGCTTGGCGTGTCGCGGCGGCAGCCCTGGCGACACGCGCTACGCCCTGCGACTTGACAGCGGGAGGCGGGGAAACACTAGACGTTGACGCTTGGGGCTGGGACAAAGCGGGTCGCGCCGAGGCGGCGTGGGCCAGAACCAGCAGAGCGACAAGCTATCCCAAAGTTCCTGACGGTACTGTGAGCGCGCAGACGGCGCGCCAAGGTCCGCGCAATCGAGCCTCCTGGTCCTGCGTCGCCCACCGGCCTCCGCCCGCCTCGAGCCCGCCGCGTCGCAATCGGCCAAGGCTTCTCGCCAAGTGGTGTGTCGACAAGGCATGGATCGTTGTCGCCCTCCTCGATCTTCCTGGTCTCGCTCCGCTCTCCTTGCCCTCCTCCTCCCCCACCCCGTCCCCCCTTTATCGCCCTCCTCGCTTTACCCACCTCACCTGTCCACCCTCCTCCCCTCGGTCCTCGTTTCCCTCCTCCGCCCCCTCCCCCTCATATACATCCATCCCTCTTCCTCACAAATAACTTCTCCCTTTCGCACCCCGAGGCGTGTCGGTTGGGCGGGCGGGGCGTGTCCACTCAGATTCCTGACGCTTAGAATGTGCAGCAGCTTCACGGATGGAGGGCGGGCCGTTTTCAACATGTGGCGCGTGCCATAGCGCGCCGCACATTCGAATTAAAGGGTTCGCAAGGGCTTCACGGATACAGGATGGCTCCTTGTCCAAATGTATCCAAATGTGGCTCTCGCCTTAGCGCCGCACGCATTCGTCTTAATAGATTGCACGAACTGGGGCTCCTCCTCCTTCTCCTCCTGCATATCCATTGTGGAGGTCCCGAGGGTACGCTGGTTGCACATCAGTGGGCTTGTCGTGAGAAGTTTCTGGAGTTCTCGGGGTTAAAGCCCAGGCTCATCCCAGAGAGCGTTGTCAGATTCAGGGAGAATCGTCGCAAGTTGGTGGGTGAGAACTGCGGGGTTTGTGAGGCATTCGATGTCACATACGGCCTGCCGAGAGAGCCGCTGCAGCCGAGCCAGCCAGACGCGAGGACGGACGTGGTTGAGTGGGGCGACGCCAATGGTGCGTGGGACCCAGGTGGTCTACACGGACGCCTCAGGACTGCACAACGACACCCCCCACGCTCTGTAGAGCGGGCTGGGCTGCCGTGCAGTTGTGCCCCCCGGCCCCAGTCGAGATGGCTTGTTCGTGCTCTAAACGGTGGACTTTCCTGATATCGAGCAGTCTGTGCCGAGGGGGGGAGAGATATGCGAGGCTGATGGCTCTCGAGGTGATGGAGAAGCCTGGTTTGGACATGATGCCGTGTTGGATCACATCCGCCTCGTCGAGGATGCTACGAAGTGGGCATCGTCGATTGCGTCAGCCTCATCTAAGCATGCACTGGTATGGATCTATACTCCAGGTGTGCTGTCGAGATGTTGAACTCCCGATTTGAGTGGGTCCCTGCCCACAAGGAGGCCGACGAGTATGTCGCGAACGGAGGCAGTCTGGCGCACTGCTTGGGTAATGCGCGGGCGGGCCTCTTTGCAGATTAAGTGGCGGTCGAGGTGAAAATGGCAGACACACTGGCAGACAACCGCAAGGGCCTGCTGAAGATCGCCACAGCCAATGCGCGCCACCTCGCGTTCCTGATGTCGAGGGCAGCGCGCATGTATCGTGAGGTGGGACCTGGCCCGCCACCGCCCGCAAAAACAAGCTGTGCGCCCCATAGCACACTATCACAGAGCATGATCTTATGTAGATGAGTGAGGCCCTGACGTGTTGCATTAACCATCTGCGTGAGGCTCAGACGCCTGAAAATGATCGGGCCCTTTTTTCCTCGCCGTGCCCCGGGCCACCTGTCCCTGGCGACGGGCGCAAAATCTTCTCCTGGGGCCCCGCGGGCATTTGCGAGTGGCGCGGTCGCTACATATTGCGCACGAGCAAGCATATATAGAACGACGCTTTAGCTGGACGTCCTGGGGGCCTGGGGAAGCGCCCCAGAAATCGCCACACGGTAGTGCATGCCATGCATCGTGCGAAGCGTCGTTTGCGGCCTGGCTTCGAGCCCAAGCAGTGGGAACCCGACTCCATCGTCGTAAGTCCCAGGGGCCAGCTCTCCTTCGGTTCTGTTGTTCCGCTCCTACCTGGCGCCACGCCGCCCCCTGTCTGTGGATGGGGCCTGGGCGGCCTCTGGCTTTTCTCGCTGTATCGGCCCCTGGGTTGATTTTTCTGCGCCCTGGGTTGTCCTGGAGCGCCCCCAAGTCGGCCCCCTCCCGTTCCTTCGGGTTCGGTTCGGGGTTGCTGGACTTGGGGCCCTCCTCCTCCTCCTCCTCCTTCTCCTCCTCCTCCTTCTCGCTCCCCCTCCTCCCCTTCTCCACCTCCCCATCCGTCCTCCGTCCTTCCTCGTCCTCCTCCCCCTCCCCCATGCTCCATTTCTTCAGCCCCCACCTCCTCGTGCTGCTCTCCCTGGCCTCCTCCCTGCCACCCTCCTCGCCTTCCTTGCCCTGCCCTTCGATTCCCCCCGCCCTCCTGGAAACCTCCGAAGACTCGCGGAAGGCTTTGGCGCCTCCTCGAGGGCTCCAAACAAAGACGGCACAGGACACGCCTCGAGGAGCAGAAGGAGGAGGGAGGAGGAGGAGGAGGAGGAGGAGGCGGATGAAGAAGAGGAGGAGGAGGAGGAGGAGGAGGAGGAGGAGGAGGAGGGGGAGGAGGAGGAGGAGGAGGAGCAGGAGGACACGCCTCTCCTTCTCGACCCCCCCCGTTCCCGGCGTGGACCGTGGACCCTTCCGCTCCCCGCGCAGGCTGGGCGCGCCTGGCCCAGATTGGTGAACCCGCTCTGCGGCAACAGGCCCGCGATCGCCGACCTCTGGCGGCGCGCACATGGGGGGTTCCAGGGGGGCGAGGCTTCTTAGAAGGCGGGCGCCGGCCCTACGTCTACAGACAAGGCCCGCGCCTTCCAAGAAGCAGGGGTGCCTTCAAGCAGCCCTCCCCCCCTCCCACTGCCCCCCTCTGCGCGTGGCCGAGACCTCACGGCGTCCAGGTCGTCCGTGAGCTCGGCCACCTCGACCGCCTCCGCCCGGCGCGAGGGGCAGCGCCGGGGCCAGGAAAACGCACGGCAGTGACAGTGTGAGACCAAGACGAGGATCACATCGGGCGGGGGCAACTCGAGAGTCTCTGCGATCCGGCTGCTCTGGAGGATGTCTCCGGCGCCGCGCTCTTCTCAGAGCGTTCCAGGACGCCTCTGGAACGGATCTGCCCTCGTCCTGGACCCGTCCGGTGACGCCCGCGTCTCGGCTCGGCCTCGCGCTGCTCCGGGCGGGCGCGTGCCCGGAGCAGCGCGGCGGCGGAGGACAGGCGCCCGCGCACCCCTCGGCCCGGTTCGCCCCGCAGGCGGCCGAGGAGACCGGAGCAGGAGGAGGAGGAGGAGGAGGAGGAGGAGGAGGAGGAAGAGAACTGGCACGAAGGTGGATGATCGACTTGTAAAACGATCGACGGCTAGCCAGCCCCGCCGAAGAGATTTATCTTGAGTAGAGCGGGGGGTCAGGTCTGCAGAATACCCCGAACGGACGTCAACAAGCGCAACCAACCTGTTCGGTCAAGCTGACACTGATGCACCACACCCGGCGTCAAACCAAAACTTTGGACATAGCGAACGGCTCGACGTTTTGCATACCGTCGTCGGCTTGACCGGCGAGGCGTTGGAGCACCTTGCCGCCCCTTTCTTGGTGGTCCTGCGGGTGGGCGCTCTCTGACCCTCGGCCCTCGGCCGTAGAGAAGATCTTGGAATGCCGTGGTGCGACCCCACACGGTCTCAGAAACGCCCCGCCCCCACCTTGACGAACCGAGCAAGCAGAGACGCGGGGAGACACGCAAACGCCCCCCCCGTCCTCCTCCTCCTCCTCCTCCTCCTCCTCCTCCTCCTCCTTCTCCTTTGTGTCTAGATGTCCAGATGTGGCAGGACTGGCCACCTCTGGTGATGGACATCGCGTGCGTGGGCAGCTTTGCTGCGCTGATGCATGCCCGGCGTAGGGGTGCACATTGGATCGAGGCGTTGGCCCGTCGTGACAGACAGCGCTGGATGATCTGGCAGGGTCTGGTTATCATGAGGGACTGGCGCTCCTGGACTCCAGGGGGACACACCCCAAGCGGTGTCCTTGGCTCAGTGGCTTGAGGAGACGGCGGAAGCCTTCTGGCGAAAAAGACTCCCCGGCCTCCCTCCTGGCCCTCCTTCCCGCCCCCATGCCTACAGCAGCCGCGCTGGTTGGTGCTATGGGCCGGGCCGGGCTTGGGGCGCGGGCTCAGCCAAGGATGCCTCCTCCCCCGGGGTGGCTCCCTCCCCCTCCATTGCCGGAGTCTCGCACTTGCGTCTCCTCGCCGTGCGCTGGCAGGCTCAGCGGTTGGGGAATCGGGCTGAGCCCCAGGCGCGGGCAACCGTACGCTGTCGGCGGCCCCGCTTGGTCCGCCCCACTCCATGCGGTCAGGCCGAGTCGCCCATCTTGTCAACCATTCGAGGGGTTCCAGCAGAGGGCCTCCGCCTGGTCGCAGCAGGGTCGCTTGCGTCACCCTCCCCTGGGCCCGCTGCCCCCTGCAAAACGGGGACCACGCCCGAGGTCTCCGCATGCCGCCCCAGCGGGAGGAACGCCGGCCAGCCAGCCTCCGCCTCCTCCTCCTCCTCCTCCTCCTCCTCCTCCTCCTCCTCCTCCGCCTCCTCCTCCTCCTCCTCCTCCTCCTCCTCCTCCTCCTTCTCCTCCTCCTCGTCCTCCTCGTCCTCCTCGTCCTCCTCGCCCAGGCTGCAGAGCGGCCAGGCGAGCGGCACGCCCAGCTCGGAGGCCGCTGCGCGTGCGTCACCGGTGCTCCGCACCCCGCCTCGTCGCGGCAACAATCGGGACTAGAGGCCTCCCAGCTTGGGTCGGGAGCAGATGGGCTCGGAGGATCGCGCCGCATCGCCGATGCATCGGCGATACATCGGCGATGCATCGGCGATGCATCGGCGATTCATCGGCGATGCATCGGCGACGTCGACGGGAAGCAAATCGGGCTCCACGTCGAGCCGCATCGCCGAGGCATCGGCGACGCGGCGCGATGCTCCGACCCCGTCTGCTCCGACCCCAACTGGGAGGCCCAGAGAGCCGTGGATCGGCGGCGAGCCCCGGGGGAAGTGAGAGAGAGAGGGCCCTGTCAGGAGGCTCGGACTTGCCAACTGACTACCGGAGTCCTCAACTGGGCCTCGGCCCTGTAAAATGCCATTCAAAACAGATCTATGACAACTGGGAGGATATATCATCACCGTAGCCATTTTGGCTCAAGGTACCACGTCGTGACCTGCCCATGGCGGTCCTTTTTCTCCCCTCTGGCCTTCCGAGAAATGTTCGAAGCCGTAGCCTTCCCCGAAGACGCAGAACACGTCTCACAAGGAGCGAGGGCTTCTGAGAAGCTCCGCCGCCTTCTGAGAGTGCCTTCTCCTTCTCAGTTCCCCCTGGGCGCGCCGCCGAATTTGGTTTTTGGGTCAGAACTCGGGTCTCCGGCGGCCGTTCGGGACGATCCCGGCACCCCCGGAACGCCCTCGGCGAGGCACAGCTGCTGGCAAGCATCCCGAGGCCAAAAACCGCCGAGAACCGACGGAAGCGCCTGAAAGTTCGGTTCTCGAAAGCCTCGAACCTCGAAAAACGAGCCTCGAACCCCGAACCTCGCTCGCCGCCGAATGGTGACAGAGGGGAAGAGCGCACGGCACATATAATAAACGTTCGGAGCCCCGCGGGGACTTCTCGGATCGGCCCTGGGGGTCCAGAGCGCCGATCCAAGAAGTCCGCGTCCGCGCGGGGCTTCCAACGTTTACGCTCAATTACGCAGCGTTTCTGCCTCGAGGTTCGGTAGCGAACGAGGGGGGAAGTGATAAGGAGAATGCCTTCTCAGAAGATTCGGAAGTGCCTGGCCTTCTGTGAAGTTTTCTAAGCCTTCCCCGAAGGTAGAAAAATCTTCTCAGAAGGCGCGAGGGCTTCGGAAAAGTCCCGCCGCCTTCTGAGAAGGCCTTCTCCTCATTGCCGCCCCTCGTTCGCCGCCGAGAGGTAACCTTCGGCCTCTGGGGGAGCTTGCCAAGCCCCTGGGCCGTCAGACGACGGCTCGGGATGATCAGAAGCTGACCCCAGGCAAAAAGCGCGCCGAGGCCCCCAGGGCCCGCGTGGCGGCAGCCACCAGGGCGTCGATGGTCGAGAGCTCGCCAAACCACAGGAGACATGGCTCTGACAGGCTGCCGGCATGGAGGGAGGGAGCTCCGGGCTCCCAAGCGAGACTCCGGAGGGGACACTGGAGATCACGCCATCCGAGCAGTGCCCAGGCCCAGCACTGACCGGCAGGGCGGCGAGGGGTGGGGGGGAGGCAAACTGCCACGCAAGTCGAATCTTGGCAGAGTCAGAATGAGAAGAAAGCAAAAGGCATCAGATGGTGGGGGTGTACAGTGGGGCGGCGCAAGAGACCGAAGGAGGCATTGGATAAGGAGCCCTTAGATACGGAATCCAGGGTCTGAAGGCTGGTGGGGCACCAAAAGCCTCTGATCAAAGAGAGACGCGAGGAGCTCCGAACGTTGATATGTAGTTGTTTACCCTTCGATGGATATCACAGCCGCCCTGATCTGATAAGGAACCCTCCAGGGTCTGAAGCCTCCTGCGAAGGGGCCCTGGACACACAAATGAATAAGCACAGGTCCCAGGACTCCCCATACGTGTTCGATACTTTCTGGATGTTTGTCTTCCCCTCCACTTCCCATATGGTGTAAATGGTTTAAGTCATTGTCCAGGGCATCGACGATTATTTGTGTCAGTGCCTATGTGTCCATCTGAACCAAGCGCCCCCACCGCAGGGGTGGGCGGGCGGAGGGGCCCGAGACGCCACGCTCTGCCCCGAGGCCCGAGGCGGCTCTGCTCCCCAATCCTCCACCACTCTCCTCGTCCTCCCCCTCGTCCTTCTCCTCTTGTGCGTCAGGCGAACTACAGGAGCACGGCCTGTAGCGCTCCTGTGTGGAAAAAGACGCGGACCAACTTAGGTCACCGTGGCGACAGATGAAGGTCGCAGGTCGATGCAGATCAAGGTCAGGCAGAGCGAAGATCTCTTCACCCTCCTCCTCCTCCTCCTCCTCTTCACCCTCCTCCTCCTCTTCATCCTCCTCCTCCTCGTCGTCCACCCCAATCCCTCCGCCCTCCCTCAATCGCTTCTCCTCCTCCCCCTCTACCTCCTCGTCCCAATTACGAGGCCTTGCGAGTCCCTGCGTGCCCATCCAGATTACTGAGAAGAGGGGGGAGCAGGCATCTCTCGCGATCTGTGCGCTGCCTAGCTCCCGAGCAGTTCAGGTCACTTGCTACTTGCTTCGCCGGCGCTCCGAATCCGAGTCCGAATCCTCCCTCCCACGCTGCCGAGGCGGCGTCGGGCGAAGCCTTCCGGCTGTGGCCTCCGCCCCAGGCCTCCGGCGCGATGTCTTTCTGACGCACGCGGGCCTCCAAGCCTCTCGGCCCCACCACACTCCATCAACGACGCGCCGTGCCTCCGTCGCTACCCCCCCCCCCTCCCCCCCCGCAACGGGCCCCCGCAGATCCCGCGCCCATGGCATGGGCCCCCCCCCCGCTGCGGCCCGACGCGCCCCGATCACGCACCGCGAACACATCCGCGTCCGCGCCCTCGGGGTCTGGCTTCCGATCCCGCGGATACGCGGACCTCTGGGTACGGTAGGTTCGTACGGCGTCGGTGCGCGCCGAGGTTTTTTGCCCCCGCGTCGATCGTTCCACCTTGAATCGATCGCGCCCCCATTCGTTCAAGCTTGAATTCCGTCGGATCCTGTGGTGCTACGTTGAGCCTGAATGCTTGCGCGTCGTTCTATCATGCGGAGCTCAACCCCGAACGCCCTTGCCAGCGTCGCCGGCGCGCCATCGCCGCGTGAACCTACTGTACGTTTCGCGCGGGACATCCGCGACAAAGATGCCCCGTATTTGAGCGGGGACCGACCGTCCCGGCATTTCTATTATAGGCCTACCACGGCATGCTCGTAGGACCCAAGTTTTTTCGTAGAACAACAACACTGTTCTTAGAACATAAGCCCGACGTGTCAAAACACGAGTGTCTCAGCCAGAGCTGTTAAAATAACTTTTCGTGCAGATCACAGAGGGGGGGGGGGGTCCGGGACGAGCGCTTCACGTCGATTTGGAGGGGGGGGGGGGGTCCGGGACGAGCGCTCCACGGGGCTTTTCCTGGCCCAAGAGGGCTACAAGACGGGCCACGAAGCCCCCAAGAGGCCTCCAAGACGGCCCACGAAGGCTCCGAGAAGCCAAACGACCGCTCCAAGACGCCCACGATGGCCCCAAGACGGGCCAAGAGGTCTCCAAGACGGCCCCTGAGGTCCCAAATGAGCCTCCCAAGAGGGCCCAGAAGAGTCAAAAATTGCTGATTTTCCAGAGTGTTTTTCGATGTTTTTTGCTTTTCCGCCTTTCCGGCTTCCCGACGCTCCAAGACGGGCAAAGAGGCCCCAAAGATAGCCCCAAGATGGCCCAAGAGGCCCCCAAGACGGCCTCCAGACGGCCCAAGACGGCCCCAAGACGGCCCAAGAGGTCCCCAAGACGGCCCAAGAGGGCCGATTTGGAGGGGGGGAGGGGGCCGGGACGAGCGCAGCACGGCCGGGACGAGCGGTTCCAGGGCTTTTCCGGGCCCAAGAGGGCCTCAAGACGGGCCAAGAAGGCTCCAAGAGGCCTCCAAGACGGCCCACGAAGGCTCCGAGACGCCAAACGACCCCTCCAAGACGCCCAAGATGGCCCCAAGACGGGCCAAGAGGTCTCCAAGGCGGCCCCCGAGGTCCCATACAAGTCTCCCAAGAAGGCCCCAAGAGTCTAAAATTGTTGATTTTCCATAGTGTTCTTCGACGTTTTTTGCTTTTCCGCCTTTCCGGCTTCCCAACGCTCCAAGACGCGCGACGAGGCCCCAAAGATAGCCCCAAGATGGCCCAAGAGGCCCCCAAGACGGCCTCCAGACGGCCCAGGACGGCCCCAAGACGGCCCAAGAGGTCCTCAAGACGGCCCAAGAGGGCCGATTTGGAGGCGGGGAGGGGGCCAGGACGAGCGCACCACGGCCGGGACGAGCGGTTCACGGAGCTTTTCCGGGCCCAAGAGGGCCTCAAGACGGGCCAAGAAGCCCCCAAGAGGCCTCCAAGACGGCCCACGAAGGCCCCGAGGCGCCAAACGACCGTTCCAAGACGCCCAACATGGCCCCAAGACGGGCCAAGAGGTCTCCAAGACGGCCCCCGAGGTCCCAAACAAGCCTCCCAAGAGGGCCCCAAGAGTCTAAAATTGTTGATTTTCCATAGTGTTTTTCGATGTTTTGCTTTTCCGCCTTTTCGGCTTCCCGACGCTCCAAGACGGCCAAAGAGGCCCCAAAGACAGCCCCAAGATGGCCCAAGAGGCCCCCAAGACGGCCTTTCGGTTCTTTCCCAAGAGCCCCTCGACCAAACGACGCTCCAAGACGGCCAAAGAGGCCCCAAAGACAGCCCCAAGATGGCCCAAGAGGCCCCCAAGACGGCCTCCAGACGGCCCAAGACGGCCCCAACACGGCCCAAGAGGTCCCCAAGACGGCCCAAGAGGGCTCCAAGACGGCACCACGAGGGGCCCAAGAGGGCGACCAAACATGTTGAAACTCTAGCTTTCTGCCCCCAGGAGCCCCAGGGGGCCCCAAGAGTGCCCCAAGAGGCCCCCAGAGGCCCTCACGAGGCCGCCCAGACGCCCCAAGGAACCCCCAAGAAGCACCCCAGAGGCTCCGAAACGGCCCCCGAGTGGCTCCAAAACTCGCAGTGTCGCTGTCCGCTCGGACCTCCCCGCGGAACTGCCCGAGACCCTCTGGCGGTGGCGGCGAACAGACACCAAACAAATATCACTCGCCTTTTCACCCCTTCGCAGCTTCTACTACCCCCAGATTGGCATAAACAAGGGGTCGGCGGTGTGGCGTAAGCCTAAGAATAACTTTTCGTGCAGATCACAGAATGTTCTTAGAACACTTTTTGGTGGGCCTAATGCGCGAGCCAAGACGCTTCGCCACTGCTTGACGTGTCCGCGGGGTCGCGGCCCAGGGGCCCGGCCCGCGATGCCGCGGATACCGAGCTGCTCGTGGGCCACGGCCAAGGTGGGCCCCTGCCCGCGCGCCCCAAGGAGGTCTCGGAACCGCCCAGTGCGCCTCGAGCCAGGGCCCGCAGGAGGCCAAGCCAACGTGTCTTCTGGACCTCCCCCGAGGACGCCAGAGACCTGTGCGGTCGGAGGGAGGCCCGCCCGGCCGCCTGCGTGATGGTCCCGTCGTCGCTCAGCGCGCCGTTGCCGTACTGGAGGACTCCGACGCGTGCCTTGTCCTGGCCGTAGTACGTGGGGCGGTATCGGCTGACCAGCAGGTCCTGAGCGGCTCTGGGAGGGGGCATGAGACAGGGTGGGGGAAGAGAAGAAGAGAGAGGTAGACAGAGAGAGAGAGAGAGAGAGAGAGAGAGAGAGAGAGTAGGAGGAGGAGGAGGAGGAGGAGGAGGAGGAGGAGGGGAGGAGGGCGAACAGAAGGGGGAGGGCGAGCAAGAGGAGCAGGGAGAAGGAGGATGAGGAGCAGGAGGAGAAGGAGGAGGAGGAGGAGGAGGAGGAGGAGGAGGAGGAGCGCAGCGTAGGGGTGAGGTGCCTCCGACCGACCACTGTGCTCAGCTCAACAGCTGAGCACACCTCTCCACACTCGGGTGACTGGCTACACCAGTGACCAGAGCGGAGGAAAGAGAAGCAAGGGCGGCGGCAGCAGGCGGCGAGGCGGGCGGAGGGCGCCTGCCTCTGTCGAACATCACGTGCATATGGGCAGCGAGCCGTGTTTCAATCATAGCCGCGGAAGGCGGCGCACGAGAGCGAGGGAGGGAGGGAGCAGCAGGAGGGACCTCCTCAGGGGCGAGAGGGCGGGTCGAGAGGACAACCATGGAGCGACGCGAGCGGCGGACGGCCACGCTATGGATATGGGGACAAAGCGTGCTTGCGGGCGGCAGATTATTTTCGGCGCCACACTCACCGTTCATTCTTGAAGCGCAGTGGCCAGGATTTCCCCCATCATCCAGCAACGTTGGCGACGTCTGAGCCTGCAGCAACAGGCTCGAGGAGCACCCGTGCCCAGGGCTTTGCGTTCTGCCAGTAGCTTCCAGCGGCATAGGCGATGACTGAGCCTGCTGCCACGTACTCAAGGAGCACTCTTGCATGGGACTTTGCGTTCTGCCAGTGACCTCCAGCTCCAATGGCGACGACTGAGCCTGCAGCAACGGGCTCGAGGAGCACCCGTGCCCAGGACTTTGCGTTCTGCCAGTAACATTGACGTCACTATCTTCATCATGTTCAACACGTTCAGGTGTGGCAATCAGCGTCGACGGTGTGCCAGGGCTTGGCGTCGTAGGGACGAGCCGTGGAGTCAGGCATGGGGACCGGCCAGGGGCCAAGCCTTCCTCGATTGTAGCATCCCGAGCGGCATGGACGGGATCGGGGTCGTCAGCCGAGGAGGTGGAGCAACTATCGGTGACCGTGCGCAGTGTCGGTATGATGAACGGCGGCGGTTTCCATTTCTTATCCAGCTGGTCTGTTGGAGACGCCATTCGAAGAGTTCTGACCGCCGCCCGAGTCGCAGGGTTAAGAGCAGTAGTAGTGACTCCCCCACGATAACGCACAGTGTGATACGTAGTGTACATAACCACAATCTCCTCCACCCGTTCCACACACGGCGCCGTCAGGCACAGTCGCTCATGGAGAAAGGTAGGGAGTGAGCGACCCAGAGCACGGCCGACAGCCCGTACAAGGCGCTGGCACCGCATGTAGTGGCACTGCCTGTCAGCACCAGCATGACACCCAAAGATACACCGCCGTTTCCCAGAAGAGTAACTTATCCGATAACTTGTGAGCCAAGCAGAGGCCCATGTCTTAATGACAGGAAATACCCAGCTCGTGGGCAGCAGCTGCATCAACATCTGAATCGCCTCCCACGGCACCCGATGTAAGAAGGGTTCATACATGGTAAAGTAGCGAGCCAGCCTGGTCTCGAAGGTAACGTACAACGGGAACGGGGTGACAAACTGCTCGTATAGCGCTGTGGTGGCAGCTCTCTGAAATTTGCGCGCTCGTCCCGTGACCGACATTTCCAAAGCAATAGCAGACGTACAGCAGCGTAGGATGTCCGAAGGGTAGCCAGCACACGTAGAGCCTTGCCGCAGCCAGGCGTAGGTCTGCAGGATGGGCGGTAGCCGCCAGTGCCGTCCAGCGTCACACATCCAATCCTCCCGTGTGCGACTGGTCGCGAGAAAAGCATCATCGAATCTTCCCAGCAGCAGATCATCATTCCATGAACGGGTAGTGTTAGTAATGTTAGAGCGTATGTGGGTATGTTCGCTGAACGTAATGGTGGCGGCTCGGGTCAACGCAGCGGCGCATGTATGTTGCATGAGTGGGATCTTGGGGCCACCCCACGCAGAGAGCTGGGCCCAGCCAGAGGCAGACAGAGTACCCATGGGAGCACGGAATACCTGAGTCAGCACAGAGAGCTCGAAAGCGACCATCCTGGGAGGCAGGGGGAAGAACTGAGCCAGGTAGGACAAGACGGGGAGAGCTCTTGATCGGTAGAGCACGCCGTTGATCCCCAAGGGAGCGGAGCCAGAACCAAGGAGCCTGGCCCGTAACTTTAGTTTCATCCGAGCAGCGCCCCACTGCATCTGGATCGTGACGCCGGGTCCCAAGAGAACGCCAAGGTACAACAGGTGGGCCACGACCTCGAAAGCGCGCCATTCGGGAACAAGCCGACCGAGGAGAGCACGTGTCCTATCCTGAAGTTCAGGGCTAAATGTCTCGTGTAGTGGGGTGACCTTGCATTTACTGACCTTGAGGCAGAGCCCAGTAAAGAGCTTCGTAGTAGTCATCACACGGTGTAGCACCTGGAGCCCGCGAGCTTCGAACAAGACAGCCCCAATATCGTCTGCGCAGGCCCTAGCCAGGCCAAGTCCAGAGTCCTCCAGAGAGCATTCCAGGTCGATCAGGAACGGGGCCGTGCACAACGCGTACAAGGTCCCAGACAGGCCACAGCCTTGTATGATCCCCGACCTCAGCCAATACACCGAGTGGAGCAGGCCACCATAGGCCACGACCCCTTCAATCGCAGAGTACAACCAGGTGAGAAAGTGCATCGCTGGGAGTGGCAAGCGAAGATGAGTGAGGAAAAGCATCATGAACTCCTGGGAGAGGCTCGGGAAGGCCTGGCCGAAATCGAACGAGACCAACAGCGGCATCCTAGACGGGGCCAGCGGATGGGCCCCAGCAATACGACTGACGCCGTCTAGCTCCAGGATGTTGTACCCAAAGTTTCGGCCCTGAACAAAGCCGCGCTGCGACTGGGGAACGAGGGGGTCGACGACACCTTTAAGTGATCGGTTCACGGCAGACGTCAGTATTTTCAGGTCGGTGCTGCGGAGACCAAGGACCCTGATCTTGTCAGCAGTGCGAACGCAGCCCCCAGAGGCCAGGTCTTCGTGTTCCGATCCCTTAGGCAGGTACGCTTGCAGAGTGACGCTGGCCGAGTCGAAGAGCGACTGGCCCCGCAAGATCCAGTCCATCATAAGACATAATACTTCCAGGCAGCAATCGGCCGCAGCCCGAGCGGCATACGGCAGTCCGTCGATCCCAAGGGCAGAGTGACGAGCACGAGAGACAATATTTCGAAGCGTCGCTTTTGAAGGTGGGGGAACGTCTGGGAGCACAGGGGAGGGACACTGCTGTTCGATATAAGTCTGAGCGGCTTCGAGATCGACTTCCGAGCGGGAGAAGACAGGACGCCAATATTCCGTGAGGGCAGCAACCCTTTCCTCAGAAGATGCAGCAAGCCGATTGCCGTCACGAACAGCACGCAGAACCAACCTCCGTGAGAACGGGGCCCACATCGCAGCTTGGCGTTCCAACAACTGACGACGACGAAAGGAAGAGGGCGGACGGTTCGACCGAGAGCTTGCAGCAGCGTCAACGGCAGCACAAATCTCTTTTTCCAGGAGCCTCATATGGACCCCATCCGTCCACATGTGAAATGATTCAGGATGACGAAGGGCGACTTGTGAACCTCCGATGTCGAGCATGTCCGCTGCTGTAGCCGAGGTCGCCACCAGCCAACGGGCGAGATGAAGATCTTGACGCCATACTGCTCGCGCACATCCTCGGGCAACGAGCAACGCTGTTTCGTCGCCAGCAGGATGGTGGACAAACATCCAGTCACGAACTTCACGGGCAGCTTCTTTCAACATATCCTTGAAGTGCCCCTGGTAGATTGCCGCCGAGCACACCGTCTCAGCGCCAGCCCCGTCTTTGAACACGCCTTCAATACGTAGCCGAAAGAGAGGGCTCTCGAAGCTATGGCGAGGCACTGGCTGCTCAGACCTGGGGCGTGCGTGCCGTTGGCGAAGCACCGTGAGCAGCGCAGCGTGGTCCGATACCAGAGAACGAGATAATTCCTCAGGCTCTCCGATGGTGGAGGACTCCGCACACATTTGGCACATCATCCATCCTGGCACCGAGCAGAAGAACCGATCAAGGCAGCTGACCGAGTTGGTGTCCTTAGTGTAGTGTGTCGGCGCCTCCGAAGAAATCTCAAGAAAAAATCCCAAGGTCCTCAGCCACCGAGCTGCCATTGCACGATGATTCCGAGGATCAGTAGCACGAGCTGGTTCAGGCCGCTGGAGGGGCAACGCTTCATCAGGGCCGAAGTTGAGGTCGCCCTGCACGATCACCAAGAAGTGAAGAGGGTCAGCGGCCGCCCGTGCCCGCGCAGCGTCGATCTCCGCACATATCTCGTCGATCTGCACTGCATTGAGACCATGGTTGTGGATATTGAAGTGCACCAGCTGAAACCCCTGCCCGACTACGTCGACTCGAAGGACCCTTCCTTGCACGACGGCCGAAGCATTGCTGGTAACATCGAGCTCAGACGCGAGCTTCGGTAAGATAGTGGCGACCCCTCCTGCCGACGACCCCCCAGCGTCGACAGGGCAAAACGAGGCGTGGACCACAGCATCCCGATGAAGACGACAGAGATAGTCTTCGAGTTGCAGACGATCTTGATGAACTTCCTGTAGTGCAAGGATGGGCCCAGGAAGGTGAAATCTCTTCAAATATGAAGCCTTGAGTCTACTCTTCGCTCCTCGGTACTGTAACAGAGCTCGAGCATTCCAAGTGATGAATCGCATCGATTCATTCTCATTCCCACGGGTCGGAGTGTGGAAGAGCTGCATGAAGCCGTCAAAGACACCATGTCGTAGGAGGAGGGGGGGCGGTGGTTTCATCCACCACTGCTTGGATGTCTGCACGTGTGAGATTGAGGTCCAGGATGCCCTCTTGGTTGAACTGCACGGTGTAAGGAGCGTCATCAGGGTTCGCCTGGATCTTGAGCACGCTGGTCCACCCGTTCTTGAGAATGCCTCGCTCGCGGTCAACAGACCACCGTCCCCCAAACTTGTCAGCACATGCACCATGGATCCGACGAAGAGCCATTTCCGTCTTAACCTGGCGTGGAGATTTGTCGGGCCCCAAGTGGAGGCGCCCGTCGGCGGCGGCACCCGAGGCAACGACGTTGAACACCCTCCACTGATCGTTGCGGCGAAGATTGCTGAGCACCTTCGAAACCTTCTTAGAGGCGAGGCCGGTGGCCCCGTTGAACTTGATGAGGAACCTGCGGGCAGGAGTCGGAGACGGGCACGAAAGGGTGTATTGGTCTGCTTCGAATCCAAGCTCAGATAGGAACGGCGCCAGCACATCGCGTACTTGTGACAGACCAACCATTTTGGTACACATCGCAACCACCACCGCAGGGTCAGTCTGGCGGTCGAAGTTGGCGGGCGGCGAGGGGGCCGCTTCCTGGCGCTTGGCCACATAAAGTCCTTCACGCAGCTCGGCAATCTCTGCTCGTAATTGGCGAAGCTGCTCTGTGTGTGAGTCAAGCTCGATACTGAGAGTAGCAACCTTTCCTGTGACGTCATCAATTTGTCGCTGCGTCTTCCTTGAGAGCTCGTCAAGCTGCGGTCGGAAAGTAGCCATCGCCTTCTGGTCAAGCTCTGCAGGTTGATCTTCCAACTGCTTCTGCAGCACAGCCAGGGTGCGCAAGATGGAGGCGTTGCTGGATTTGACAGTGTCACCCACAGTCGAGGCGACGAGACCTTCGAGCTCCGTGCGGAGCTCGCTGAACTGGGAGGCAACGCCATCGGCGATGACAGCTTTGATATACTCGTCGGGGTAGTCGTGAGCAGCATGCCCAGCGGGTGCACGAGCGTGGTCAGAAGGGGGAGCCACCAGCAGGCACAGGAGCACCGCCAGCAGGCTGATCAGGAGAATGCGTGAGCTGATCCGAGCGCCCGAAGACGAGCGCGGCACCAGCAGCGGCGGCGCGGGAGGCCAGGCTGGCGACACCCTTGCCACTGCCCGAGGAACCCTTGCCGTCCTCGGTGCGCGGGTACTTGGGCTCAGGCGAGCCCCGAGCACGGTGGCCATCAGCACGATCATCATCTGGGAAGGTGGGCATGTCATCGATCTCCTGGGCAACCTGGGCGAGCGCAGCAGCGTCGGGAAGCCCCATTGCGACTGAGACGTTCGTACGCACAGGAACGGGAAAGGCCTCCGTTTACCCGTGGGGGCGAGCGTCAGTTCGAGGGACAATCTCTGCCAGACCGCCAGGGGTCTTGTCTGCCGCGGACTAGCGGTATCCACTTGTTCCCCTGAGGAACTATGCATCTTGAGCCAAAATGGCTACGGTGGAGGAGGAGGAGGAGGAGGAGGGGCATGGGAGAGGGTGGGGGAAGAGAATAAGAGAGAGAGAGAGAGAGAGAGAGAGAGCATGGGAGAGGGTGGGGGAAGAGAAGACGAGAGAGGTAGAAAGAGAGAGAGAGAGATAGATAGAGAGAGAGAGAGAGTGAGTAGGAGAGCGGGGGGAGGAGGGCGAACAGAAGGGTGAGGGCGAGCAGGAGGAGAAGGGAGAAGGATGAGGAGGAGGAGAAGGAAGAGGATAAGGAGGGGGAAGAGAAGAAGAAGGAGGACTAGAAGGGAGGAGGAGGATAGGGAAGAGAGGAGGGGAAGAGGAAGAGGAAGAGGAGGAGAAGGAGGAGAGGAGGGAGGAGGAGGAGGGGGAAGAGGAGGAGAAGGAATACGAGGGGGATGAGGAGGATAAGGAAGAGAGAGGAAGAGGAAGAGGAGGAGGGGAGGAGGAGGAGGAGGGGGCGGCGGGGAGGAGGAGGAGGAGAAGAAAGAATGATGATGATGATGATGATGATGATGATGAGGAGGAGGAGGAGGAGGAGGAGAAGGAGGGGGGAAGAGGAGGACGAGGATCAGGAGGAGGAGGCGGAGGAGGATGAGGAGGAGAACAAGGAGGAGAAGGAGGAGCAGGAGGAGGAGGACCGGGGGGGGAGTAGGAAGAACCAGGGGGATCAGCAGCAGGAGGAGGACAAGGCGATGGAGAGCACGAAGACGACGACCAAGGAGAGAAGGGACGAAGGGAGGTACCTTCTCCTGCCCCCTCCCCCCATCCTCCCTCCTCCCCCGCCTCCTCCCACATCCTCGTCCTCGTCCTCAATCTCGTCCTCGTCCTCGTCCTCGTCGTCCTCCTCTTCCTCCTCCTCCTTCCCCTCCTCCTCCTCCTCCTCCTCCTTCTCCTCCTCCGTCTCCTCCTCCACCTCCTACCTTGCCCTCCTCCACCTCCGTCTCCTCCTCCACGAGGAAAAGGGTGGAGGAGGCGGAGGAGGAGGAGAGAGGAGAGAGGAAGAGGAGGAGGAGGAGGAGCAGGAGGAGGAGGAGGAGGAGGAGGAGGACAAAGAGGAGGAGGAGGAGAAGGATGAGGAGGATGAGGAGGAGGAGGAGGAGGAGGAGGAGGAGGAGGAGGAGGAGGAGGAGGAGAAGGAAGAGGAGGAATGGATGCCCCCCGCTTGCCAGAAGGCTCTGGAGCTTCTCGAACTGCAGCGTCGACAAGGAGCCGCTGCTGTCCACCGCGATAACCACGTCCTGCACGGAGACGCACTTCTCGTCGCCGTAGCAGCCCTCCCCTTTCCCCTTCCCCGCCAGGGATGTTTTCGGGACCTGCGCCAAAGTTCCTGGAGGAGGCGGTGAGGAGGAAGAGGCGGAGGAGGGAGGAGTAGGATGAAACGATGAAGGGGGAGGATCGGCAGTGGACAAACCTCCCTTCAGTAAACCTTCAATGAAAACGGCCTACAGACTGTAGAACCGAAACCGACGGACCTGGACCCGCAGAAATGACGGCCGCGACACCCTCTCGCGAACCGAAAACGGCCAATTCGCTAATCGACGTGTCAGGGTAGGAGGTCTATCAACCTCCGAGAGGAGGAGGCGCAGCAGCGGCAGGAGGATGCGCAGGAGGAGGCAGGCGAGGGAGAAGGAGGAGAAGGAAGGCGGGAGGGAGGACACCCATGCGACCTTGTGCTGGCTTCCGGCAGCCCTGACGTGTACAACGGCCTCCCGAGAATCCGAACGGCTTAAAGACTCCAGACACGGGCGCTCGATCTCTTCTGCACCGCGCACTGCTCCTACGAAGAATCGCCCTCGACCCTGACCGGGCGAGGGCGTCTGCGGAGCCTAGTCCAACCTCCGAGGACCTCTGCAAACCTCCGGAGGCCTCTGGGGACCTCCGGTCATGACCCAGGCCGGCAGCAGAACTTACCACGTCCCGCCACTCGAGCGAGCGCGGCACGTCCAGGATCCCCCCGAGCTCCTTGCCCTACCAGCTCTTCCTGGCCCCACTGCTCCACCTGCTGATGCTCAACCTCCGGTCGGCGGCACGCCCTGGGGGGGAAAGAGGGAGGGGGCGGGCCTTCCCAGAAGGCTCGGAAGTCCCCCAGCCTTCGGACGAAAAGCTTTCTAAGCCCTCCCCGACGACACAGTGAACTTCTCAAGGGCGCGAGTGCTTCTGAGAAGTCCCGCCGCCTTCTGAGAAGGCCTTCTCCTTCTCATTACCCCCCTCCCTCGCCGCCGATTCGAGCTTCGAGCTGCGAACTTGGCTGTGCTGCACGGCACTGGAGGCCTCGCAGCCCTCCCCGCAGCGACGCCCGGAGGAGAGCAAGCAAAAAAAAACAAGAGGTCAGGTTCTCCTCCTCCTCGTGCGAGCGCGGCGTCTCCGACATTACTCTGCGCAGGTCGTGTACCCAACCATTTTGGGTGCAGCTCCGAGGAGGCTGCAGCTGCCAAGTGGCAGCAGCGGCAAGAGCAGACGGCCACCTTCAATCGCACGCCAGTCCTCCTCCATCCTCCTCCTCCATCCTCCTCCTGCTCCTCCTGCTCCTCCTCCTCCTCCTCCTCCTCCTCCTCCTCCTCCTCCTCCTCCTCCTCCGCACCCTCCTTCACCCTCCCCTCCTCCACCAGCCTCTTCCATCTCCCCTCCTCTGCATCCGCATCCACCAGCTCCTTCCCCTCTTCACTCCTCCCTTCGCCATCGATGCTTCCGCCTTCACCCCTTAGTTATCCTCCTCCGCCAACGTGTCTCCCTCTTGTTGTCCTCCCACTGCATCTTTCTCCTCCTCCTCCTCTTCCTTCAAGCTCCTCCTTCTCCTCATCCTCATTCCTCTTGTTGTTCCTCTTCCTCTTATTATTCCCCTTCGTAGTATTGTCCTTATCATTATTGTTATTATTATTATTATTATTATTATTACTACTACTACTAGTATTATTATTATTCGTCGTATTGCCCGTAGTCTTATTATTAGTAGTATTAGTATTATTATTATTATTATTAATATTATTATTATTAATACTATTATTATTAATAATACTACTACTAGTATTATTATTATTCGTCGTATTGCCCGTAGTATTATTATTATTAGTAGTATTAGTATTATTAGTATTACTATTAGTAGTAGTATTAATAATATTATTATTAGTAATATTATTATTATTATTAAAAGTATTATTAGTATTATTATTATTAATATTATTATTGTTCGCATTATTGAAATAATTCGTCTTCTTCTCTCTCCTCCTCCGCCTCCCCCTCTCACCTCTGCGCTATCTGATCTGTGCCCCTGTTTCCCTGCCCGTCCCAAAGCCTGGTCGTTGCAACGCTCGTACAGCACGCGCTGGTGGGACGTGGCCACCGGGCACTGTCCGTTGCCACGGATGGGCGCCTCCCCCTCTGGGCTGGTGCTACCATCGTCTTGATCGATGGCTCGTAGTCGACGTCGTCGTCGTCGTGGACCTACTTGGTCTCCTCGACCCTCTCCGCCTCCTCCTCCGCCTCCTCCTCCGCCTCTATCGCCTCCCTCTTTCTCGTCCTCCTCCTCCTCCTCCTACTCCTCTTCCTCATTATGCCTCCTCTTTCTTCCTGGATGTTCCCCCCCCTCCTTTCGGCATCCTACGGTCAGGAACTGCTTCATAGCGTGTCGCAGCGGCGGCCCGGGCGAAACGCTATGCCTTGCAAGCGGATAGCGTGTCGCTCCGCCCTGGGGGGCGAGAGGTTCGGAAAAGCTCGTGACGTTGATGCCCCGGGACTGGGCAATGGATGGCATGTCGCGCCGTAGCGTGGGGGGTCAGAGCCCGCGGCGAGACATGCTCTCCAAAAGTTGCCGACCGTGCTCCTCCTCCTCCTCCTCCTCCTCCTCCTCCTCGATCCTGCATTCCCCGCATCTGCTCGCCCCTCGCCAAACCCTTTGGCTATCGTGCCCCGCCAAGTTCATCGAAAGAAAACAACCCCCGTACCGTACTCTCCGCTCCACCTCCTGCGCCTGCTCCTCCTTCTCCCTCCTGCCCCTCCTCCGCGGTGCTCCTCTACCGCTCATTCTCCTCCTCCCCTTCTTTCAGGAGGGGGAGACGAGGAGCGCACGTAAGCGGACGGAGAAGTATGACGATGAGGAGATATTAGAAGGCGGAAGAGGAGGAAGGGGGAAGGGAAACGCCTCCTCCTTCTCCGCATCCTCATCCTGCTTCCTGTGCGACTCCTTCTCTTCCCGCTCACTTCTGCATCCCCCTCCTCTCCCCGTGATCCCCCCCCTGGCATCCATGCTCCTAACCCCCTCCCCCTGCCCCAACATAACCCCCTCCTCCTTCCCATCCAACCCCCTCCTCCTCGTCGCTTCTCCACATCCTCCCATCCTCCTCCTCCTCCTCCTCCCCCTCCTCCTCCTCCTCCTCCTCCTCCTCCTCCTCCTCCTCCCTCTCCTGCCCTCCTCCTCCTCCTCCTCCTCCTCCTCCTCCTGGGTTAAGGCGCCCCTTAAGCCATATCACTTCAAGTCCTCATCGTCCTCGTCCTCCTCCTCCTCGTCCTCGTCAGTCTCCTCGTCCTCGTCCTCGTCGTCGTCCTCGTCCTCGTCGTCGTCCTCGTCCTCGTCCTCGTCCTCCTCCTCCTCCTCCTCCTCATTCTCCTCCTCCTCTTCCTCCTCCTCCTCCTCGTACTCTCCTCCTCATCCTCTCCTCCTCCTCCTCCTCCTCCTCCTCCTCCTCCTCCTCTCCTCCATTCCTCCTCCTCCTCCTCCCCCTCCTCCTCCTCCTCCTCCTCCTTCTCCTCCTCGTCCTCGTCCTCGTCCTCCTCCTCCTCCTCCTCCTCCTCCTCCTCCTCCTCCTCCTCTCCTCCTCGTCTTC